AATCAATCGTGAGTGAGAAGTATATTGCTTGAGAGCATACTATCTTATCGGGATAAAACAAAGTAATGATTGATAATGAAGGACTTAAATAAACGATATCTTACTCGTTGGTTAGGTTCGCAAAACCCAGAATAAAATAGCAACGCGGAACAGGAAATCCATAATTTACAATAGATATGATAAATAAAATTTTTATTAACAAAGAATTATCAATTATCATTATTATTATTAAACTAACATTACAAAAGATAAAGATTAATAATAACTATATGATGGGATAATTTTTAATGATTATTTAAAAGTACATCATTAGCTAACTAACTCTCTTGAAGTTATACAAAGAGTATGATGGAATTATACAAATATTCAGAGATCGTACAACAAAATACAGTATACTAAACAAAAATTCGGAATTCAATTTCATATTTTTATAAATTATTTAGGAAAAAAAGATGAAATGAGTAAAAAGATAACACATAAAATCAACAAATTCCCGTTTCAGACGATGAAGAAAAAGAAAACAAAATGTAAAATGTAAACAAAAAGGAAATAAATAATTTATTTTTCGAAAAAGAAGTATTTATACGGCTGAATAACGTAAGCTTAAATTGACGGTATTACGGTAGCTTTCGTTGTCATCTTCATCTTCTACGATATTTGTGGATGGATCAGCTTCACGGTAAAGTACCATTTCAATCTCATCCACCTGAAGTAAAGGTAGAGCAAGATCGCAATCCAAATATTGCAGCGATGTGTCGTTTATCTGAAATAAGAATAATTAGTAAATTTGAAATAATAAATGCTTATTATTTTATTATCATATATACTATTATCATATATTATCATATATTTTGAAATAATGATTATTATTTTTGTATCATATACACTATTATCATATATCATATATGTAAAATTTTGCTGGATATCAATGAAAATTATCAAAGGGTGGCTTTTTTTATAGAGGAAAGATATTGAAATGTAAGTCATAGGGTTAGTTAAAATTTTCAAGATTAAATTAAAACAAAAATTGATGATAAGAATGATTGATGAAAAAAAGGAAGTTTAGAAAAAACAAAAAAACAATTATAAACCTGTAAAATTTTATCATATGGTAAAATTTGTCCACATCGATCTGCTGGACCACCTGGTAAAATTTCATTAATAAAAACTCCAGCATTATCACCAATACCATCTGATACACTAAATCCAAAACTATTCGTTGATGGATCCTAAAATATGAGATGATTTTGCAATAATTTCATATAATATCATTAATTTTTAATTACTAGAATCGATTGAAATATTTGCTTCATGTAAACATTATTTCATCTATAATAATTATGTTATAAAGTATTTATGAAGTGTATACGATATTTTTTCTGCAAAATTTAATAATTTATTTATGGTATTATTGTTGGATTTTAAAATTATAAATTAATAAAATTAATAATACTTTATAATGGAAGAAACAAACTTTGCGTAATCGTACTTGGTGAGTTGTACCGCTTGCAGTAGGCGTAAATGTTTTACTACTAAGTTCATGAAGTACAAGTGCTGTAGATCGTGGTGATAATCTGACATTTTTTGACTGCAACAGAAAAAGAAAAATGATTAAGATAAAGAATTTTTGGATGTTAATTGGCCATGTAATTAAAATCGTAAAATGATTTTTAAACTAATGCTTACATTAAAAATCTTTCATTTATTTTGTTTTCAATTTTTTTCTTTTTATCTTTGTTTTATTTCTATGTAGAATAAACAAATTTAATTTCTTAATTAGCAACGTTATCAAATAGTGGCAGTTAATTTTGTTATTTTTGGATGCCATTAAGAATTAGTGTGTTTGAAGTTGAAATTTATACTACAACTGGAATACTTCAATATTTCATAATATAATCAATTACCTTGGATAATTCGTGCTTTGAATGCCGAGATACACTACTTGAAACACTACTCCTAGCATTTGATGGTTCTGATAAAACGGATAGAGCATGTATATCACTGATACCGTAACGAGGTGGTTTTGGTGGTACTTTATGATATGGTATATCACCAAGTGATGCACTTGTTTGAGAATCATTTGAAAGATTTAACAAATCTATTCGATCATTGCTAGAATATTGGGTTTCTGCAAAAGAAAGAAAAAAACATACGATGTCTCATGTAAATTATGACAATTCAATAATACAAAGATAAATCAATAAGTAAACAAATAAATAAACAAATAAACAAATCTCTTTATAAGGCATTTAAAACTCTATCTATATCTTTATTTGCTTGAGTCAAAAAAAAAAAGACGAGAATTGTTTTTGATTAAGATTATGAATTATGTTAAAAGTAAGTCTATCATTCATAGAAACTTACGTTGTGTTTCGGGTTTTGAGAATTTTGGATTTACGGAAGATGATAGCACCGGATGAGCTAATACACCTGTTGATGAAGCAAATGGACACAGCTGTCGTCCAATAGGATCACCACAAGATAACCTTAAATTGGAACGTTGAACAATTGCAAGCACATCACAATAATAAATGATTGATTTGATTATTATTATGTTTCAATTCATTTTACAATTTCAGGTAAGATTGATGATTTCAAATGAATTATTTTACAATTACATAATGATTCATCAAAATTAAATTATTCAACAAGTAGTAAACAGACAAAATTTCTTGTAAGTTTTTAAATTCATATTTTAATCTTTTCTTTCTTCTTCCTCTCCCATTTTCTTTCTCTCTCTCTCTCTCTCTTTTTCCTCTGATCGATAAACAAGCCAAATTTAAAAAGTTTATGAGAGAAAAAAATAAATAAATAAAACAAAAGATTTTAACATTTTAACATTTAACACTGAACGACGTTAAATTATTTCTTTCATTCATTTTAAAATTTAAATATACCTTTTGCATATTTTTTATTCAATAAAAAAAATGGTACTTTATTAAATGGTACTTTGTTTACTTGATAAAGTACCATTTTTATTGAATAAAAAAAATGTGGAAAAATGAACAATTATTAATTTTAATTTATTCTTTTCGTTAACAAACATTTGTAATTTCTATTTTTCTTAAGAAAAATGATAAATTTGATAATATATTTTTTTTTAGAGAGATATATTATTTTATTCGATAATTAATCTTCAAAAAACATTATATTAAATTTTTCTTTTCATTTAATCGCTATTTTAATCCTTTACATTTCATCATTTCATATTTTCAATATTGATAAGTGAAGGAATTACTTTTTCAATTTCAATTTTACAACATTTTAAAAAAGAAGAAAAGAAGAAACCTGGTTATGACAGGATTATTATATGATGTCGTCTTCGAACCATTACCACCACTACTGCCACTTGTGCATTCTTCTAATTTTTGAAGCATTGCTAATTCACCAACTGTTTCAAGTGCTTCTAATATTTCAATCCTACATTTTTACAACATTAGTTTATTTATTAAAATAAATGGAACAGAAAAAAAAAAAGAGAGAGAGAGAAATAATTGTAAAACAAAAGTTTCCCAAAAAGTCTTACAGACAACAACAAAAGAAAAAACTTGTTGTCTATTAAAATATTTAAAATAATTTTATTTGTAAATCAAATTAAAAGATTGTTAATTTTTTTTTTTTGGAGAAGCTGAAATGTTTAAATTATAAGAATTAAAAACGATGATACTGTTATATTTGATATGAAAAGTAATATACCAATTTTCCGGTTCTGAATTTTTATTTTTATGACAATTACATTGCTGTGAAAGTGATTTATTTGTTGGTAAGTTTAAATTCTTTTCCCATTGTCCTTCGCCATTACCTTGCTCCATCCAACATACACCTGAAATTAAATTAGTTTTTTTCTTTCGAAAAAAAATATTCCATATCTTAATATTAATTTCAATTTTATAGAATGAAATGAATTTCAATTTTTCGATATCATAATATCTCAATATTTAATTTCAATTTTATTGAAATGAATTTCAATTTTTCGAAATTTCAACATTTCCAATAAATAAATTTACCAGGCTTTTTCCGTGAATCACCGCTAAATGGACCGGATAATCTGGATGAATGTCCGCTATGATAAGTTGTCCTCTCGTAATCAATTGGCTCTTCAACTGCAAATTCTTGATATAAATTTTATTTGCTAGCTAATATTATGAAATCTTATCATACTATATTTGAAAAGTTTATAATAGTACTAGATGATAGTGGTATTTTATCAATTAAAATGATGATTTTAGATTGCCTTACTTTGAAGTATCAATGAAAAGTTGAAAGTTTAGCAGAAATTATTTATGGAAAAGTAAAATTTCCGCTATTCTTCAATGATAATGTAATATAGAAAAATTAAAAAAATTATTTAAATTTAAACAAACCATAATTTAATGAAGTATTGGGTACTTGTTCATCGACTACATATCGTTGTGTACCACTGTGATATTTTGGTATATTACCCGGTGAATCATCCAAACTTTCCACAGCGCTATCGATACTTTGAATTGGTGTACTGAAATTAAAGGAAAAAATAAAAAGAATGAAAACTGAATCGTTGTAGTTGTTGACAAATGAAATATTTGGTATTTATAAAAATTATAAAATGCTTCAAATTATTAATAAATAGAAATAAGTGAATAAATTAATCGTAAATTGAGCTAAAATTTTTTCCTTTGAATTTTTTAAAATTTCTTTTTGAAATTTAAAACAACTGTGGAAATTCTATTTTTCTGTCGTAGAAATTTTATCACATATAAAAAAGCTTATTCAAGTTGTCTTTTTTTCCTTAAAAAAACAAACCTTATTTTTTCCGAAGTTTCACTGTATGAATCGGACATTGCTATATTATGTTGTAATCGAATCCTATCCGCTTGTGATGAATTTGATAAATGCCATGAACCTTCAACAATTTTCCGCATTCTTTAATTAGAAGAGGAAAAAAAGTGAGTTAGAAATAATTGTTGGAAAAATTATGAACCTGTTGAATGAGCTGTTGATGGATCAAAAAATCGCATAATTTTGATTGTAACAAGATCAGTACATTGTTGTAATAAATGCATTACATCAGCTGCTTTCATACCTTCAACTGATTCATTGTTTATTGCAAGGATTCGATCACCAATACGTATCGCTCCTGTCCTACAAGTAAACCATTTAATGATCATTGCTTATTGATAAGAAAATTTATTTATTAGGAAGCTGATTTCAAAGCTTATACAAAAACTAATCCAACAAGTGATAATTCGATTAATTGAACTGTGCAGTATGAGATGTAGTATACGTTTCGTACTTCTTAATTTTCAAATTCACCCAATATTTTTGATAATGAGTTCTTATTACTTTTATAACAAATTATTGGTAGTGTTACTGCTGCTAAAAATAATTGTTAATGAAAGATTTTAATAATTGATGGCCATACTTTTCAGCTAATCCACCTGGTGCAAGATATGATATTAATACAGGTTCATAACGTTCACCACTGGATGCAATCGTTATTCCAAGTGGTCCACCATTTCGATTTAATTCGATGGAATAAATTAAGGATTGCACTGCATCATGATTTTCCTAAATAAGACTAAATTTCAATTTAATTTTTAGAATTTATTTTTATAACTTTTTAATTTTACATTTCTTTTGTTTTACCACTAATGATGAAATATCATAAGTTCATGTATCACTGTTTTTTACTATTGTTCATCATTTATATCATTATGGCATATAACCTTGTGTAATTTATGTCAAAGGTTTTTAATTAATTTTTAGAACTAACATGTGTTTACCTGCTATTATTATTCATCACTATGGTATATAACTTTATATCTGCTAAAATTTTTAATTAATAAAATTTCTAAAATTAAATACCTGTTTAGAAGTAACACCTTTACGAACTCGTAATTTAACAATATCACAGGAATGTTGCAATAAACGCATTGCTTCCTCAACGGTACATGATTCTAAGAGAATATTATCAACTGCTAAAATACGATCACCACTATGAAGAGATCCACAACTGAAATATTTCACATAAAAATTAATTAAACTGTTTGTTTTCCTTTTCACATCTTATAACGAAATTTTCAAATTAACCGATAAGCAACGCTTCCAACTTGCACATCTGATATGATAACTGGTTCACCCTTCGTATTTTTTGCTTCACTTCTAACCATAATACCAAGATTATTTCCTCTTTTTGCCAATTTTACATCAAAAACTCCATCGCATGGTAAAGCACTTTCTGTAATTAACAATATTTTATCAATTAATTAATGTTATCAATTAATAATCAAAATATTATATTAGGCCTAGAAATTCAAAAACATGATAAAAGTTGTTGTATATTGTGATGATAAAAAAATCTGCAATTTGAAATATATTTTTGAATAAAAAAAGAAACTCATAAATTGGGGAGTATAAAAAGATAATTTAACTGCTAAAATTTATCGGTATAATTCTGTTTTAATTAATTAGTATTAAATTAATAGTTCGTTTTATATAAAAAATTGAATTAAAAAAATTAATTATAATATTGTTAAGGAATTCTGATCGAGACAAAACAGTCCTAAAATAGTCCTAAAATTTCCAAAAAAAAAAAATTGGAATTGAAATATTTCCGTATAAACTGAAAAATTGCCTTATCGTTAAAATGTGACACAAATAATAATTTAATTGAATTTAAATATATGTAAAAGTAAATGGTAAATGAATAACAAATTCATCGTACATAAAAAAATTAATTGTTAGAAATTGAAATCAAATACAAATTTATATATTTTAGCATCATCGAAAAATTTACCAATTACATCAAATTCAACGAATAATTTCAACGGGCTTGTTGCTTGCCTTAGTATTTGATTTCCTTCTTCGGCGGTACCATTTATGCTACACCAATTATTGATTGCAATGATACGATCACCAACTTGCAATACTCCACTTCTTAATTATGAAACATTAAAAAAAAAAATTATAATTAATGAATTATAATAAATTTTTTAGGAATAATAGATAAAGAAATTTTGTAATTTACCTGTAATATTTGCTAATTTACAGATGGTTAAATGATTAAATAAAAGGAGTATAATAATGAGAATTTTTTTAATTTACCAAACTTTCTTATTTTTATTTTTGTCGTTTTCTTTTTCATAAAAATTCATGTCATATATGTTTATGTTAAATTCACATAAATATATCGTAGAAAATTTCATAACTTAATAAGCAACTTAAGAGTTGTTTGTTTATTTGTTTATTTGTAAACAATTTCATTCAACAAATTAACAATTAAATTTAATTATTGAGAAATTTTAAGAAAATTTGAAAATTTGAACGAAAACTTTTTCGTCAAGTCCGTTGAAATTATTCGTTGAATTTTCATTTTTTTCGATGAAAAATTTTCGTCCAAATTTTCGATTTTTTTAAAATTTCTATTTTTAAAGTATTGTACAGAAAAAAAAAGGACAAAATTGATACCTTTCGGCAGGTGAATTTTTTTCCATATATGAAATAAAAAGTGGTTGACGTATTGGTTGAGGTAAATTCGATTTTGAAATTTGATCATGTACAACTAAACCGAATGATCCACATGCATAACTGTGCAGTATTACCTCCATTCTTTCCTGATGACATATTCGGCCACATGGCACACGTGACATTATTCCCTCTACAGAAGCTGCAAAGAAAAAAAAGAGAAAATTAATTATCACTCTAAAAGAATACGGTATTGTTTATTTTATATTATACTATGTTGCATATTTCTTCCATTGTAAAAATGTTGTTTAAAAAAAGAGGAAATTGACGGAAAGCATAAAAGAAATGTAAAATCATATCTCTTAATTGAGTTCGATTAAATTATCAATTATCAGTGATAAATGTGTTATATCAAAAAAATATCATTCATTGATAAAATTTTTCAAAAAAAAAAAAAGATTTATTTAAATCATTGAAGTTTTGTTTGATCAGTTGTTTATTCGTCATGAAATTTTATTAACGACAATTTTAAATTTATTTTTAACTTTTGATGAAATTATGATTAAGGAAATTATGATGAAAATTATAAGGGAATTAAAATATTGAAATAATTAAAAGCTAAATTAATGATAAATTGGTTAATTAATTAATTGCCTTCCTAACTTACAGATGCAAATTATTACAAGAAATGAAGCAAATGGAAGTTTCAAGAAATGAATCCGGAAGCGAAATAAAAAAACAAAAATTTTCCGGATGCATTTTTATTCCATTCTTCAAAATAAATTTAAGGAAATGCAAACATTATAATGTTAAAAATACATTCAAAATTTTAATTCAATTTAATTTGATAAAAATCAAAATGATACATGCAATAGAAGGAGCTCTTTTTCCGGATTGGAATATCAAATTATATCAAATCAAATAATCAAATTCAAATAATCAAATAATCGAAGAATATCAAATTATCATTTCGGTTCATACAGATCAACGTTTCTATATATTACCTATAAGAAAACCATAACCAATATTTAGTGCTAATTAGATGTTTCGCCTAATGTTAAACTAATTTCATGCTACATAGACTAAATTTAGGCATTGAAAAATAATGTCCCCTATATTAAACTATTTCCGTCTAATCTATCCATTACTTATTAGTTAAAATAATATTATGTCTATTTTTCTTTTCGAAAGATTATTGATGATAATATCAATTGCATCATTGCAATAGGCTTATTTGGCTGAAAATATTTTTAACATATTTAACAAACAATTCCTAAAAAAAAGCAAAATATTTTTCATTTTAATTCTTCCCATAATCCAACCATTTTGAATCCTTAAGAAAACAACAATATATATATATATATATATCTATGCAAATGATTTATTACTTAATTTTTGATGTATTATGCATAACATCCTCTCTCTTCTAAAATGAAAATATATATGTACGATTTTTTTTTTTTACTGATACTGGAAATTTGATAAATGATAAGATAATTATTGATATTTTCAAGATAATAAATGAAGTCTATAAACTTGTTAAATTCCCCATTTAATAATATTTTAATTTATTTCTCAATTTTTGTTTTTAATTCTAATAGCTTCAAAGAAAACAACAATTATACGGGAGATAATTTTCATTTGAGAACGAATTGCTAACATTTATGAGATAATGAATTTTCAAAAAAAATATTCGAATACTAAAATTTGAAGAAGAATGATTAAAACAACTAAACTAATTTATAACTTTTAATTACAATTGTTCTTCGATGCTTCTTTTTCTAAATCAAATTAATCATCTATGTGTGATACTAAATATTGTTTAATTAATTAATTAATAATTAATTAATTAATAAAAAATTGATAATAATAGTCATGGCAATGTTTATTTGATAACTAGAAATAGTAATTAATAACTAATAATTAATAATAATGATAATAAATAAATAAATTTGATTGATATGAAGCATTTTATTAAACTTTTATATTTAACAAATGCATAAATATTAAAAATAAAATTAGTTAAAACATTTGCGAAACATATTTGAAATTTAATTTATTTGCTTCTAATCAATTAATATATTTAATTATATCTTTTTCAAAGGCATTATAGTTGTGAAATAATTTTTGCTGAAACCAGTTGTGAAATGTATCAATCATTTCAACTTTGATTGAAAATCTAAATTATAGATTGTCGATCAAATGAAATGACAGAGTATTGACGTGGAACGCTAATTAAATTCCGCAAAACTTCAAATTTATTATTTCAAGATTGGATAGCAAAGAATAGATTGTAATTTGCAGAAATAATTAATGAATAAATTAACGATCATAAATGTTGTAATTTCAGCGTTGTTAAAAAAGTGAAAAAAACAAGAGAGCTAGAGGTCTAATCGTAAAAAAAAGGTCAAATTAAATAAGATATTGTTATTTTCAAAAAAGCAACAATATCGTTTAATATGTATATTAAATTTCAATTCACAATTTATGGCTTCAAATTTTTCAAAATTAACAAAGACTATTTTCATTTAGTATTTTGTTACATATAATATATAATATATATAATAGCTAGAAGATTAGTTTTGCAGTGCAGAAGAGGCATTTTGAAAGATAAGATGGATATATTATGATGGGTAGATTTTATGAAAATTGATATATTCCGGTATACAAATAGGATGAACGAAAGAATGAAAGAAAAGGCCTTCCACTGCTTAAATTCCATTTCTAAATTTCTCATTATTTACTTGAATTATTTGACCATTTCTATCTCTCTCTTCCTTCTTCATTCCTCTCTTTCCTCCTTCGTCCTCCTCCTTCCTTCAACATTCATTTCATTCATTTCCTCTTCTTTTCCTTTCTTAACAATTATGAAAATAACAAACGAAGAGAGGAAGAGAGGAAGAGAGGAAAAGAAAAACGAAACTTTATCATTATCTTTTTTTTATATTGCATAATTTATCATTGTTTACAAAGCAAAAATTTTGCAACAAAATATTTGAAGAAAAAACAAATTAATCAATTACGAAAATGATTAATTCATTTTAACGCTTAACTTGAAATGATTGATTAACGATTTCCATTTAAAATTTGAGTTCAAATTTTTTAAATAAATATAAATAATAAATATATTCTTTTTCTGAGAGAAAAAGAAGAAAGGAAAAGAAAAGAATAGCAAAAGAGAAATAGAGAAACTATGATAATTTTAATTAAATTATTTCATTTTCTGCATATATTAACTTAATTATTTTATTTTTAAGTTATACGATATTATATGATATTATATATTTCTATATAAATCTTGTTTTCGACATTTTGCATTTCAATTTATGATTGATAGAATTGGTTGTAAAGTTAAATTTTGTGATTGAAAAGTGAGATAAAAATTTTAAAGATATTGATTTAAATGCTAAATTTATATATGAGTAAATATTATTAAAATATATTGTTGTAATGTCGATCGACTATTTACGTTCCTTTACTTCCAATTGCTATCATTTCCTTTTCCTTTAAATCTCTCGCTCTTCATTTTAATATTTAAATAATTTCATTCATACTTGATTCCTTTATTGTCTATCTGTATTAATTCCATTTATTCATCATCGAAATCAATAGGTAATTGTGTATCGGAGCTTACCTAATAACAATTATCAAATCGGTTTAATTAATCAAACAAATTGTTCGATTATTGATAATGTGACATATTATTTAAATATTAAATAATATGTCATATTATCATACTAGTGAAAAAAAATCATATCATATCATATTATACTGATAAAGAAAAGAAATTTCATTATTTTACCTGAATTGATAAAGTGATAAATTTCTAATTAGTAACATAAAATTCTAATAATTACAATTTCTAATAATAATTCTATTCTAATAATTACAACGAAAAAAACATTCGTTATTTCTTTCCGATCTTCTTCTCATTTCATCATATTTTCTTTCCTCTCTTATTTTATTCATTTCTATTCAATCACTGATAATTTTGATAATTAAAAAAAAAAAATGAAAAACTTACAAACACTGCCAATACCTGCAATAGCTGAATAACGAAAGCATAATGTGAACATTTTTCAATCCGAATCACATGAAAAATTACTCTTTCTTTTCTCTCCTTTTCTTTTTCGTTGAAATTTATACAAATTTCAACGAATTAATCATTCATAACTGATAAATGATAAAATTATCATTTGTTTTTTTCTTTCAAATAACAGAAAAATTTGTAGCAAATAGAAATACTAATAGAATTATGGAATAGTAATAGTGGCAATAATGGTGGTTGGAGGAGAAGAAGACGACGAAGACGAAGAAGAAGAAGAGGGAAATGATGAAAAAGAATTCATCAGAATGAATATTATCAGGAATATTAATTTCGCATTTAGCCTTCATTTAGGTAACATATCTGAATAGCCATCTTCTTTTCTTGTCAGCATTATACAATGTCAGATGCATATTGTTATTATAAGCTTTGAATGAAGTTTTCTTTTTAAAGCAAATAAGAAAGAAATGTAACAAACTATAGATAATGGAACAACTGATTGATTATTGGATAAAGAAAATGAAGAAAACAAAATTGTTCAACGGTATAAGAAGGGGCGGGGGAGAGGTGGTAAGAAGAAAAAAATAACTAACGAAAAAGATAATGATAAGTGAAAATTTGAAGAGAAAAATTTAACGATCAGGTTTATTTACCGCATCTCTTCTCACTTCATCTTCAACATTATTTATGTATGTTTTAGCTTATTGAAATTAAAAGAAAGTTTAAAAGATGTAAATTATTGAAACAAAAGAATGTGTGAAAAAATTTCACGATGAAATAGTTTGATTCAGTTAATTATCAATCATATTAATGATATGATAATTTATCATAATTTTGAACATATAAAAGAGAAAAAAAAATCAAAATGTTAAAGGTGAAAGAATGAATGATGAATGATAAGAAATGAAATATTGATAGAATGATTAGCAAATTTAGTGATAAAAATGAAATTGTTTCGTTTTTTTTTTCTTTCCCTTTTTGATTTATTAATAATCATATCATTCATTTGATATGATATATTTAATCAGTGCAAAATGTCAATATCATTTTAAAGATTGAAATTATTTTCTTCTTTCTAAAGAAAAAACGAAAATTCTCCATCTCTTCTTCCTCTGCTATATTTCGATAATTCGTACGTGT